AGAACAAGGACTTCAGCTATATTCCCAGTACTTAATTGGTACAAAGCACTTATTTGGGTGATCAATAGATGTCCTACTTAATACCCTCAAAACAATTACCATGCAAGTCGTAGGAATTTACAACATAAATAGTAAGCTTTGATTGTACAACTCTGAACCTTCTGTGCATCAGCTTAATCCAGCGATTTTCAACCATTTTCATGTGAGAGAGAAACATGATGGGCTGCCTCCTGCATGTCCCCTACTGGGGATCAAGCCCACAACCCCAGCATGTGACCTGACTGGGAATGGAACTGGAACCTCTCAGTCCAAGGGAGGATGCTCAATCCACCAAGCCACACCTGCCCGGAGGCTATTGTCATTTTTTTATTTGACAATCTAAGGAAAAGAGGTCAGTGCCCCTGACTTGTCAGGTATTGCCATGTTTAAAAATTCTTGCAGTACACTGGTTGAATATTGCTGGTTTAATCACTTGCTTTAAACAAGCCCATGCTACAGTTAGTATTTTGGTTTCTTAACTACTTAATTCTGCATCACAATACTTAAGCTCCATAAAGACAGAGATCATGTCTGTCTTTGTTAGACACATAAGTAGGCACACCAAAGACATTTTTTTAATGAATACTTTCAGCCACTGCAAATGTTAGTAAAGAACCTGGAAGCGATGAAGGATACTGGCAGGACAACAGTAGCATAACAGTTAAAGATACAGATTACAGTCTGAAAAATCTGGTTTTTATACAGGTTCAAATGTTTAATATTAGCAATAGTTTATTAGGGCGAGTTACTGACCTCTGTAAGCCTCAGTTTCCATTTCTGTAAAATGAGGATAATCTACCTCATGGAATTGTTGAGAGGTATATGAGAAAGTATGTAAAGCACCTGGCACACAGAAGAACTCAGTTAATGTCAGCTATCCTTATTATTTTATCTGCCTGAAACAAAAACTTTATTTTTCACTGCAGAATCTCAATAGTGAAACAAAAGCCTACCCTAGTGTAGAGCAAAAATGGTAGGTGCTCAAGTCAGCCATGCTTCTCACTTCCAGTTAAGCCTTGCAGCACACTATGCAAGACAAGCGTTACAAGCAAGACTCCAAAGGTCGCAAATTCCCAGGAAGTCGTTGAGAACCTAGTAAATGAGATCCAATGGTCACCACCCTCGCCCCTGCTCCCTCAAAGCGAGAAACGATGCAACCCCGTCCAACTGATGAGGCGCAGCTGTGACCCGCAGCCTCGTCCTCCCTCTGGAAAGCTGCAATGCATGGGGCTTTTTGTTCTTCTGAAGTGCGGGTGGTGGCCGCGAGGGCAGAGGGATCAAAACTGACACGTGAAAATAAGAACAGCCATTTCACCCCACAGCAGTCCCCAAACTCGAGCGGGACCGCAGCCTGGAGTACCAGCTAGAAGCTCGGCTGCTCTTTGCTGAGCGGACACCTCTGGTATTTCAAACCCAAGAAATGAAAAAGGGAAGCAATGGAGGAGAGGGAGAAATGAAAACGCGAAACGACCCGCAGGCTGGACGGCCACTCCTCCGCGCTCCTGTCGCTCTGCACCTGCCCCTAGGAGCAGCGCGTGTCTCAGGCTCCGCAGAGTTGAGCAGGAGACAAAGCAACTGCCCCGCAGCGGCTGGCTGCAAACCTGGGCGACCAGGTTTCGCATCTCGGTTAGTCTTCGGTCTCGGGCTCCTCACCTGCCCAGCTGCGGTTGTCACGGGAGCGGCTGGAGATGGCGACACCATACAAGTCTCGGTTCCCCCTTTAATCCCGAGGGCAGGGGTGAGGTGTTGGTCAAGAGACTCCAGCTGCTGGCGCGGAGACGGCTGTTGTTTCTTCAGTAACAGGAGAGCCACATGGAGGTAGCGAGGCACTACTACACCAGCCAAGCTCGGCCACGCCTCCAGCTCGCCCGCTTCGGGTCTCACTCGGACACCTCACCGAGCAGAACAATTTCCGGCAAGAGCCAAAGGTTCCGCCCTAACCTTCCCTGACCGGAGCTCCCCCGCTCCTCTAAGCAGCCTCCTCTTAACGACCCGGGTAGTTCCGCTTCCGGCAGCACCAGATAAGTCGCGAGAGGAAGCTTAAATCCTGTCGCTTGCATTTAGGACCACTTCGGTGAGTGGTCGTTCTGGGTGTGCTTTATCATACCTGATTAATTTTAAAGTGAGACGTGACCTGACAATAATTTCTAAACCATTCTCTTCCACTAGCCTAGCGAGGGTTTAATTGGAGATTGCGCAGGCGCCCTTGGGGCGGGAGGGCCTTGCTGGGGCGTTGCGATGGCCCCCGCCCGCAGAGCAGAAACCGGGCGATTTCCGTTTTCGGGCCTGGGGAGGTGCTTGCTCCGTGTCTCCGAGTTTTACTTAATGGTCGTTTTTTCTGTGCTAAATTTAGCCAGACCTCGCCTTGAAGATGTAGTTAACGAGCCGCTTAAACGCTCTGGAAATGCTCTTTTTCAGTTTAGAGTAGCGTCCGAGACGACGAGCAGATTCCCAAGTTGAGTGCTGCCCTTGGTCGGCATTAAAGAATTCTCCTCCTTTACTTTATCACGATGGTCAATCTGAAATATTACCCTTTTGTCCCCAATTAAAATCTGTACGGAGAGAAATGCTAGCTCAAGGGAGAATCTTGTCCCATTGTTTTAAAGGAAAATAACCATTTTATCTCTGGGTTTTCCTTAAATGGGCGTTTTTGAGCTAAAGGAGAGAAATAATTTTCAAAATGGCAATTCACTTTTTCACAAGTGGCTTCATTTTTATGCATCTGGAGACGACATTTTTGTTGAACGAATGTGTATGTTGAACTGAAGCAGATTATAGAGAAGTGTCTGGTGTGTGTAGATTTCCCAGTCTTTGACATTGCATAAAATTGTGTTCTTACAATTTTCAGAGATAAAAATAGAATAATTAAGAGGTAAAATTCTGATCATAAGTTGACATGTTTATTGAAATATTACTGATTTTAAGTTTTCAAGTTGAAACACATGCATATAGCTTTTAGAGGTTTAAATTGGTAGCCTTGATGGGTTTTGCCCTTTGTGAAACAGTTAAATCCTGGTTTTATTTAAAATGATATTGTGTTTATTGCACACTCAAGATAAAAGTATTAAAGGAATTAAGTAATAAATATTTACATGGGTATTCACTGATTTTATTTGATGTTGTATAAGTGATAAAGTGTAAAACGTTCAGCCAAATATGACCCTGACATTTCCTCTTGCAAAACTAGAAGTTGTAATGAGCCACCTTCAATATCTTTTCTTATTCTTACTTGTTGTATTTTTTTTAAATATATTTTTATTGATTTTTTTCCCCCAATCTTCACCTGAGGATATTTTCTTTTTCTATTTATCTTCAAATAGAGTGGGAGGGAGGGAGAGAGTGGGAGAGAGAGAAAAACATCAAAATGAGAGAGACACATCCACTGGTTGCCTCCTACATGGTTGAACCACAACCGAGGTAGTGCCCTTGACCGGAATCGAACCCATGACCTCTTGGTAAATGAGTCAACACTCACCCACTGAGCCACACCACCTAGGGTCCTACTGTTTTAATACACAAGCAATATTTTAACAAAAATTCATGAAACAAAGAGCATATCCAAAAAAAAGCCTAATATAATCTTCATATTTATTGCTCAAACTACTTAACTGTCCCTTGTAAATGATATCTTCATTTAATAATATTTGGGCACAGGAAGATTGTTTGTTCTGAATATTACAGCATAAAGCCATTTTCTTATTAACTGTGCAAATGGATGGTTTCAAGGGACCAATAGTGAATATACTTCGAAAATAAAAAAGAAAAAATCTACTGGTTTTTTAAGTTATTCTGGTATGTAAATATAAGATATTAGCAGCAAACTTTTATTTTTTTATTTTTCTTTATTGCTTTTAGAGAGAGAGGAAGGGAGAGAGCTAGAGACATGGATAAGAGAGAACATCCATTGGCCACCTCCTGCATGCACTGGGGATCACGCCCAAAACCCAGGCATGTGCCCTGATAGGGAATCGAACCCATGACCTGTTGGTACATGGGTCAACATTCAACCACACCAGCCGGGCTACCAGCAAACTTTTAACCATCTACTTAACACTACTTTTGTGAACTGATTTTTCTTTTGCATTTTCTGTTTGTCCTTATCATCTGTTTCTACTGCCAAAACTAAAAGCTTGAGAACCCCATTAGACTATAACCTTATTATAAAGTATGCAACTGTTGAGTCTTCTGGGTTTCATTGTTAGTAAGACATGATAAACGTTGACAGAACATAGTAATCAACCATTAATGAAAAGAATGAGGTTTTTCTTTTAATGTTTTTATGTATTTTTTAGAGAGAGAGGGAGAGAGAAACATCAATTTGAGAGAAACATCCTGCACGCCCCCCTACTGGGGATTGAGCCTGAAACCTGGCATGAGCCCTGATTGGGAATCTGACTGCAGCCTCTCAGTACATGGGATGTCACTCAATCCACTGAGACACACCAGCTGGGCAGAATGAGGTTTTTAAATCTTATTCCTTGTAAATATTTTGAGAAAAAGGATTCTCTGTTACTTTGAACAGATTGATATGGATGATAATACTTAAATATTTTAATAATAGTAATTATATATATATATGACTTGTAAAAGACTTTTCAAATTCATTACTCATTGATCCACATAATTGTGAAAAAGGACCGATATGTATTACGCCCTTTTTCCAAATGTGGGTACTGAGTCTTAGGTAACTCGCACACTACAAATTCTGACTCCTAAAAGTCTTACCTTCTTAGCACAGTGTACTTGTAGTGCAATAGAAGTGGTGTTTTTCCCAAAGTGAACTTTGGAATGTGTGCCCTCTTTTAGTTCAGTGCTACCTCTTCTATTAGGAAATGCAAGTAATTATTTCTTTAATGACAAATAGTTGAATGTCCATTGTGTCCCAAACACTGTGTGAAACAATGTAAACATTAAGAATTAATAAGAGCTATTCCTTATTTATAATTTAAATTATTTATTACAAAATCACTTTATAACTTTTCTAGCAGGGACCTGAACCAAGTATAATGAAAGCTGAGATGACAAATAATTAATACCTGGTGTAGCAGAGGGAAAAAACCAACATGAAATTTGAAGCAACAGAGACCAAGGTTCACATGTCAGCACATGGACTCACTAACTGTTGCCTTGAGTAAACTGGATAATCTCTCTGAACCTCGTTTTCTTATCTATAAGATGGATATAAAACCAGTACCTACTTCATAGAATGTTGTGAGGATCTTCACAGTAAAGTACTACATAAATGTTTGCAATTATTTTTAAAATTGCTTATGTAGTTATTTAATTTTTTTTTTTTTTTTTTTTTTTTTTTAGGAACTTGTTTTCTCCCTATAGTTTTGGCCTTCCAGATGTCATATAAGTAGCAGCAGCAGATAGTGTGCTGCCTTTGTGTCTGGCTTCCTTCACTTAGCCTCAATATTTTGATATTTAGCTATGTTATTGGGTGTAGTAGTAGTAGTTCCTCATCAATTCTGAGTAGTATTCCACTGTGTGGATCTACCACAATTTGTTTATCCATTCACCAGTTGAACATTTGGATTGCTTTCAGGTTTTGGCTGTTATGAATAAAGCTTCTAGAAACATTCACATACAGATTTCTGTGTGGACATATACTTTCAATTCTCTTGGGTTGAAACTGGCCAGCATGTAAACATTTTGTATTTTTACAACAATTCTCTGCATCCTTGGTAGTACTTAGTATTTTAGGTTTGTTTTGTTTTGTTGTTGTTGTTGTTTGCCATTTTGATGGATATGTAATGGTATCTTATTGTTGTTTTAATTTGCATTTTTATTGTCTAATGGTGTTGAGTATCTTTTCATGTATTTATTTGCTACCTATATCTTCTTTGAAGAGTGTCTGTTCAAATCCTTTGCCCATTTTTAATATTGGATTTTTTTCTTATTATTGAGCTTGGAGAATTCTTTATAAATTCTGGACAAAAGTTCTTTATTATATTTGTACTGCAAATATTTTTTCCCAACTGTAATTTCTTTTTTATTTCCTTAACAGTATCTTTAAAAGAACAAAGTTTAAGCCCTGGCCGGTTTGGCTCAGCGGTTAGAGCGTCGGCCTGCGGTCTGGAGAGACCCGGGTTCGGTTCCCGCTAAGGGCACGTACCTCGGTTGCAGTTTGTCCCCGGCCCTGGTTGGGTCGTGTGGGTGGCAGCCACTCGATGTGTCCCTTTCACGTCGATGTTTCTCTCTGTCTCTTCCTCTCTTACTCTCCCACTCTATCTGAACAAAAAAAAATAAAAAAAAAAATAAAAGAACAAAGTTTAAAACTTTTTATTTTATGAATGGTCTTTTTGTTTGCTATATGGGGACCTAAGCTTACAAAGATTTTCTTTTTTGTTATCTTCTAGAAGTTTTATAGTTTTACATTTAGGTCTATGACCCATATAATGAGTAATTTTTACAGATGGTGCAAGATATGAGTTGAGGTTCATCTTTTTTCATATTGATGTTTACTTGTTCCAGCATCATTCCTTGTAAATATTATTCATCTCTATTGAATTACCTTGGCACTTTTTAAAAAAATCAATTTATTATTTCTGTGTGGCTCTGTTTCTAGACACTCTATTCTGTTCAATAGGCCAATGGCTGTCATTTTGCCAATACCACCTAGTCGTGATTACTATAGATATACTTCGTAGATATTGCAGGTTCAGTTCCAGATCACCACAATAAAGCAAATATCGCAATAGCAAGTCACACAAAATTTTTGTTTTCTCAATACATATAAAAGTTATCTTCATACTATACTGTAGTCTATTATAAGGTGCGCAATAGCATTATGTCTAAAAATATGTACGTACCTTAATTTAAAAATATTGCTAAAAAATGCTAACCATCATCTGAGCCTTCGGTGAGTCATAATCTTTTTGCTGGTAGAGGGTTTTGCCTTCATGTTGATAGCTGCTGACTAGGTGATTGCTGATGGTTGTTAGGGGTGGCTGTGGCAATTTCTTAAAAGACAAAAAATGAAGTTTTTTGCGTTGAATGACTCTTCCTTTCATGAACGATTTCTCTGTAGTATACAACACTGTTTGATAACATTTTACCCACAGTAGAACTTCCAGAATTGGATTCAGTTCTCACAGGTCCTGCCACTGCTTTATTCACTAGTTTATGTAATATTCTGAGTTCTTTGCTGTCATTTCAGCAGTCTTCACAATCTTCTCCAGGAATAGTTTCCATCTCAAGAAACTACTTTCTTTACTCATCCATAAGAAGTGACTCCTCATCTGTTAATGTTTTATCATGAGATTGTAGCAATTCAGTCACATCTTTAGGCTCCATTGTTAATTCTTGTTCTTTTGCTATTTCCGCCATATGTGCAATTACTTCCTCCATTGAACTCTTCTTGGATCCCTCAGTGTTATCCCTGAGGGCTGAAATCAACTTCTTCCAAACTCTTGTTAATGTTGATATTTTGACCTCTTCCCATGAATAACGAATGTTCTTCATGGCTTTTAGAATGTTGAATCCTTTCCAGAGGTTTTCAGTTTATTTTGCCCAGATCCATCAGAGAAATCACTATGGCAGCTATAGCCTTATGAAATATTTCATAAATAGAGTCATGTAGCGCACAATGACTTTTTATCAACGACAGACCACACATACGACGTTGATCCCGTAAGATTATAATGGAGCTGAAAAATTTCTATCATCGAATGACATCATAGCATCCTAACAACCTAACACAATGCATTACTCATGTGTTACTGGTCTATATGTTTACTATACTAGATGTTTTATTGTTATTTTAGAGTGTACTTTTTATACTTACATAAAAAAAGTTTGCTTTTAAACAGTATGCAGTGTTACACCAGCAGCAACCTCATACATCTCGTGTTTACTGCTTTTCTTGATTGCATCATTTTCTTTTGTGCTTGATTTAATCTCCTGTTGTTATACAACATGCATGTTATGCATGTTATGCAACATGCTATACAGGCTTGTATCCTAGGAGCAATAGGCTATACTATCTAGCTTAGGTCTAGAGTAGGCTGTACTATCTAAGTTTAAGTACACTCTATGATGTTAGCATAGTGACAAAATTGCCTAAAGATGTATTCCTCAGAACTATCCCCATTATTAAGTGGCACATGACTGTGATAAGACTTGAAGGTCAAATTACTCCTTGATCCATGGGCTTCAGAATGGATGTTATGTTAGCAGGTATGAAAACAACATCAGTCTCATCGTACATCTATATCAGAGCTCTTAGTTGATCAGATGTATTGTCAGTGAACAGTGATATTTTGAAAGGAATGTTTGTTTTCTGTGCAGTAGTTCTCAACAATGGCCTTAAAATATTCAGTAAACCCATGTTGTAAATAGATGTGCTGTCATTTAGGCTTTCTTTTTTCACTTATAGAGAGAAGGAAGAGTAGATTTAGCATAATTCTTAAGGGTCCTGGGATTTTTGGAATGGCACATGAGCACTGACTTCCTTAGTCCCTAATGAAAGTCAGCCTGTCCTTTGAAGCTTTAAAGACAGGCATTGACTTCTCTCTAGCTATGAAAGTCCTAGATGTCATCATCATCTTAACCATTTTAAAGTGTACAGTTTAATGGCATTAAGTACATCTACATTATTATGTAACCATCACCACCATCCATCTTCAGAATGCTTTTTTTCTTGCATAACTAAAACTCTGTACCCTTTAAACAATAATTCCCCCATTACTCTCATTCAATACACCCTGACAACCACCATTATAACTTCTATCTCTCTAAATTTAACTACTCTAAGTTCCTCATATAGGTGGAATTATACAGTATGTGTTTTTGTGATTGGCTTATATTAGCACAATGTCCTTAAGGTTCATCCATGTTTCAATCTGTGTCATAATTTCTTTCCTTTTTAAGGCTGAATAATTATTCCATTGTGTGCATATATCCCATTTTGTTTATCCATTAATCCAGTGATGGAAACTTGGGTTGCTGCCACCTTTTGGCTATTGTGAATAATGCTGCTATCAACTTGGGTGTCAAAACAATCTCTTAACCCTAACAGAATGTAAACTTCATAAGGGTTGAGAGGATATATGTCTTGTTTATTATTGTATCTCCATTGTGTGTCTGACATATAGCAGGAGCCCAATAATATTTTTTCAGATCAGTGAATGAACCTCATATTTGTCTCTAGCAACTGTCTTGTAATTCCTTGCCTTTAGAACTAAATTTAAGCTTAGTAAATACACTTTCTCAATGCCCATTCATTTTATATCCCCTGAGGTCTGGTTTCCACCTGCCCTGCTCTACTCTATTGCCAAACCACTAGACACATTTTAGTTCTGATATTATATAATCTCTCCTCTGTTTAAGAGCTCTTTATTCCCTAGACTTCTATGACCAGAATCTCTTCTGGATTTTTTTCCTATTTTTTTGGCTAACCTCATGCTGCTGAGGGATTTACAATATATTTGGCAGAGAGACATGTAAACTTGTAAGTTCAGTAGTGTTGCAGATTTTATGAAAATGTTACATGTACTGTGGGTATACCAAGGAAAGTGTGCACAATTCTGCCTGAGAGGAAATAGATGTGGTCAGGAAGAATTCATAGATGAGCGTACTTATTGTGAATGTTGAAGGATAGGGATATGTCTACTGTTCTTACTAGGTGTACTTTACCTAGGTCCACAATGGTCCGTAGTGGGAAAAACGGTGACCTTCATCTTAAACAGATTGCATATTATAAACGAACTGGTGAATATCATCCGACTACACTGCCAAGTGAGAGAAGTGGAATAAGGAGAGCGGCAAAAAAATTTGTCTTCAAAGGTAAAATTAAGGCCCCAAATCTTGAATACAGAGTTAATACACATGCCTCTCCATATGTATTCTTGTGGAATCCTGAAAATTTCTGTAGAAATTAGTTGTTGTTAAGCAATTACCAGTGGAATTGATGATGCCACTCAGTCAAAAGCAAAATAAAAATCACACTAAAGTTAACTGAAGGCCAATAAGCATGAAAAGGGCATTTAAAATCATAGACCAAAAATGATACCATGAGAAAAACACACAACACTTACCTAAACTAACCTTTCCTGCTAAAGCCTCAGATGATTCCTATTCTAATGGTGCATTTTGAAGCACTCTTATCAGTATCAGTGAAAAACTTACTCGATGCTTAATATTAAAATATTGACAAAGTTCACTTGTTTGTTTACTATATTTATTTCTGTGGTCTCCTGCCACTAAATAATTTCAGGATTACATTTATTTTTGGACTTTCAAATCCCTCTGAATGGGTTAAATATTAGAAAGGCAGTAGAATCTATATCTTGAAATTTTATGAAATTTTTTACCTCTTTCTCCTCTTCCAAAGGGGAAGGGAAGAGAAGTTTGGAATGAGATAAGTAAGAAGTACAGTCACCAGGTAACTAAATGAATGTTGGTGTTATTAATGAGAATGTTGCCTATAAGTACAGAATTAGGCTTTCCTCAAAGCAAGTAAAGAAAATTCTAAGAAAATAAATAAATACCTGTTCATTTCTCCCTATGTACATAACATCCCTTCCAATAACTCCCTTAAGCTTAAGAACAGGCACACCTCTTAGACTGAAGTGAGAATTCATTGATTAATTTATTTAATCATTCATGTAAAACCCAAGTTCCTAATGTGTACAAATCACATCTGGACCTTGGGGATATATCAATGAATAAGATAGATAAGGTTCCTGCTCTCAAGTTGCTTACTTTCTAATTCAAGTAAGGACTGTTCCACTCAGCATGTGCTTAATTAAGTTTATTGTAGTTTAATGGTATAATCTGGAGTTCAAACAGTTACCTCATCCATACTGGAGAGGTGGTGGTTCTCTCCCTGCCCTGGTTGTTTCCTTGATTCTTCTCAGGTGTCCTTCAAAGGAAAACAGAACTATCTTGAAGATTAATGTTCTCTCACTTTCTGGCTTTGCTAACCCCACCTCCAACTTAAATCCAGAAAAATTTAAGAGAGGTTGTTGCTTACAAAAATGTAGTTATGATGAAGTACTGTTTTGGAAAATTCTGTTCCTGAAGTGGCTTATCTGTACATAATTCACTTGCTAATTCATGCCATTTTTAGGAGATACCTTCAGATATTTTTCTAGAGTGAGTAACCCATGGAAAGAAAATTGCATACTCCCATAGTTCTGTGCTTTGGTGAGCAAGATGGTTCTACTTGTATTGCTAGATACAAAGTTACAACAGCTAGAGCTCCTCTTACATATCTAGTAAGTGTAACAGCTGAGGACCTTTCAGATTGTGTATTAGCATCATTACAAATAAATATTCTGTGTTAGAAAAAAGTTTTTAATTTTTTTAAAGAAACCTCATGGTTTAAAGATAAGGCTATGATGATCTTAAAACTATATTGATCTCTAAAAATTGCAACTATATCTTTTTGGTATCATTTATTCCAGAAAAAAAGTTGTTTTATGTTGGAAAAGACAGAAAACAAAATCGTTTGGTAATTGTTTCAGAAGAAGAAAAAAAGAAAGTCCTAAGAGAATGCCATGAAAACGACACTGGAGTCCATCATGGCATATCCAGAACCCTCACTCTAGTGGAATCCAATTACTATTGGACTTCTGTGACCAATGATGTCAAACAGTGGGTATGGCTGTTATTTAGAATATTTTGAATAATGTCTCTGTAATAGATATCCAAAATTCATTATTGCTCCAGATTTATTCTGGATAGCAGTTCTCATTAAGTACTTCTTATGTGGGTAGTTTTTACACAGAAACATTTAGGGAGTTTTATTTTTCTTCAGAATTCTTCTGTAAAATCACTCAAGTATAATTAGAACTAGAACAAAACATTATTTAAACATTATTTTTAGATAGATTTTTTTTTAGAACCAGATTTTCCTCATTGACCTCTTTTGTATAGGCAGAATATAAATGGGCTTGAAATTACTTTAACTAAATCATCACCTCTTTGATGGCAGTCATCCAATCTTGATGTGAATTCTTGAGAGGTGAAAATTTCATAAGTCAGGCCCTGTGTGTGTGACATTTTCATCTTGCATAGAAAATGTCAAATATGGCAGAAACCCAATACCAACTACATGTATTATCAAGTTGTGAAGATAATGAAATTAGTCTGAGTTTTATAACTTTATAACCCACTAGAACCTTCAACTTCTTTAAAAAAATTTTTTTTTTCTTTTCTGATTTTACAGAGAGAGGAAGGGAGAGGGAGAAACAGATAGAAACATTGATGAGAGAGAACATCGACTGGCTGCCTCCTGCATGCCCCCCAGTGGGGACTTGGCCCACAATGTGGGCATGTGTCCTGACCAGGAATTGAACTGGCAACCTCTGGTGCTTGAGTTGATGCTCAACCACTGAACCACACTAGCTGAGCACCTTCAGTTTCTTATAATGAAAAATTCACCCAGAAATTATGGGATTCTTGCTAGCAGATCAACTGATTTCTACTCTTTCTAGTATACTCAATTTTCAAATGGTAGGAATTCCTCGATATGTATGTGAGATTCCTTTAATAATTGTAATAGTGCACCAAAAAGACTGTTGTTTTAGGCATAAAGAACTAAACCAACATTTAATAAAGTTTCATTTATGAGTTATTTGTGTATGAATCTATGCAGGTATTCCAAAGATCTCAATATTTGTATTTGCCTTTAGAACCTGCCACAGTTCCTTACAAACATTTGATGAAATCTTTATCAAATTCTTATCATTTGAGAATGGATGTAATTTTTGGAAATAACCAGAGGTTATTTATATATGAGTTGGAAAATAAAAACTTTGATCAAAAGTAACTATACATCGATGTTTCTCCCTCCTTCTCTCTCTCCCCCACTTCCTCTCTCTATTAAAAAAAAAAAAAATCCAATAAAATTTTTTAAAAAGTAACTAATGCGATAAGATCCTTTTAAAATTTTGTTCAGGAGTTGGTTTGAAAGTAGTTTCCAAAGTAGAATGCTAGAAACATGTTGAGCAATGACTCTATAAGTCAATCAGTTGATCTCATCTCATTCACATGAAAGACAGCATGGGCTTTGTTTTTGTCCAGTCTCTTTTCCCAGGACCTGAGGAATTTTTGGTATCTATAAATATTGTTTGAATAAAATTATGTGTTAAGAAATATTTGTTGAAGTAGATGAATGAATGCATTTATTAATAATAATTTTTTAAATCTTTTGCTTATAGAAATTAATACATATTTACATATTGATTTAAAATTATAGCAAACTTGTTTTAAGATCTAGTCATAAGTATTTATTGAATGTAAACCAGAATGATGTTCCATGTGAGTAAGACTCCTTAAGATGGTTGTTGAATAGTATAGCAACTAATATTTATTTATTATCTTGAATAGGAGGTTTTATTTTATTCTAGAATAGTCCAAAGGTTTTTTCTTTAAAATACAAAGTACCTATTAACTATTAAAGTTCAGATTTATAAGACTGCTTTTATGTTGAATATATTATCATTTTCATGTCTTTATTGTGTGCCTATTTTGTAGGTATACGCTTGTCATCATTGTCAAGTGGCAAAAAATACAGTTATTTTAGCACCTAAACAGCCCCTTCTGAAGGTGGAAAATCCATGGAGTATAGTTACTGTTGATCTAATGGGCCCATTTCATACAAGCAACAGAAGTCATGTATATGCTATAATCATGACAGATTTGTTCACGAAATGGGTTGTGATTTTGCCTCTATGTGATGTTTCAGCATCAGAAATTTCTAAAGCTATTATCAATATATTTTTCTTATATGGACCTCCTCAGAAAATAATAATGGACCAAAGAGATGAGTTCATTCATCAGGTAAGACAAACACCTTAGGTCTAGGAGCATATTTTGTTTACTATTCTGTGTCCAGCACACCTATAGATTATAGGATGCTTAATACGTTTCAATAAATTGCTGCAAATATAGAGGCTTAATATTTTATAGTATAGAGGTAGTTGTACTGGAAATTAAGAGACCAGAATTTTAGTACTTTTTGGGCCTCTTAGTAATAGTAAATCTATCTTCAGGTTTCCTCAAACTGACATAACGTGATTGGACCAAATAATCTTTACCTGTAGCATAAAATTCTGATTGACACATAGAGGGAGAATTGACTAAATGATAAAATATATCATGTTCATGAATGAGAACATTCAATATCAAAAGGTATCGATTTTTCCCAAAATAATTTATGTAATTAATAAATGTCTAATCAGCATTAAGAAGGAGGGAGTTTTTCCCCTTACCCTGGCTTTTTTCCAGATTAAACTTAACCTGAAAGAATATATATGAAAATTCTAAAGTAAAAAGGAATAGAACTACCACACTTAAGATATATTTAAAAATCTGGCCCTGGTCCTTGCCGGTTTGGCTCAGTGGTTAGAGCATCAGCCTGTGGTCCAGAGAGACCCAAGTTCAGTTTCCGCTAAGGGCACATACCTCGGTTGCAGTTTGTTGCTGGCCCTGGTTGAGTCGTGCATGAGGCAGCCACTCCAGGTGTCCCTTTCACGTTGATGTTTCTCTCTCTCTCTTTCTTCCTCTCCCCGCCCCACCATTCTATCTGAACAAAAAATGGAAAAATGTCCTTGGGTGAGGATGAAAAAAAAAAAAAAATGTGACTCTGGCTGGTTTGGCTCAGCGGTTAGAGCGTCGACCTGCAGATCCAGGAGCCTCGGGTTCGATTCTGGTCAAAGGCACGTACCTCGGTTGTAGTTTGGGCCCTGGCCGGGATCATGCAGGAGGCAACCAATTGATGTGTCTCTCTCCCATCGATGTTTCTCTCTCCCACTCCCTTCCCCTTCCCCTCCCATTCTGTCTGAAGATAAATGGAAATATATCCTTGGGTGAGGATTAAAAAATTAAAAATGTGTGTAATTGACAGGGTAGTGATGTAAGAAGAAAATCAGAGCTAGCCACATAATATGAATTTAGAAACAAAAAAGAAATACAACTGACTTTTTGTTTTTAATCACTAGAGATGGAGATAACTTTCTAAGCTTAGGAACAGTGGTGTACATTTTAGTGGGAAACATCACCAAATTTGACTACATAAGATTTAGAAACATTGTGCTAAAATAGCCAAAATATAAAGGCCAAAAAGTAGACGAACAAAAATAAATCATATCCATGCAGGAAAGGGTTAATATCTTTATTATAAAATATTTAAACAAAAATTTAAAATATAGTCAATGGCAAAAACAATTCACAAGAGGGAATAAAAATGAGAAACATGGAAAAATGTTCAAACTCAATAGTAATGAAAATGCAAATTAAGACCATTGTTTGCTTATCTAATCAATAAAAATAGTAATAATACCAACTAGACTACAGGTAGAATGATACAGTCTTACATTACTGTAGCACTGCAACTTGAAATTAACTTGTTTGTAAAATAGTTTGCTGGAGGTTCATTAAGAGCCATAGATATATTTTGTCTTTTAGTTAGCAATCCTACTCCTAAGAATTTGTTATAAGGCAATAATCTAAAGTATTAAAAGACTCTTATTTTAATTTATTTATTATAATTATCACAGTGCTATTTATTTTAACAAAATACGGGAAACAGCGTAAATATCCCCAAAAAAGGAAGTGTTTTGGAAAAATATGCCTAGTCACATGATGAAATAGGATATAGCCATTAAAAATGATGTTTGCAAAGAAAGAAAAGGAAATGACATGAACAGTGTTTACAACATGTTAAATTAAAAACCTGAGTAAAGCCCTGGCTGGTGTGGCTCAGTTGGCTGGAGTGTCATCCCATACACTGAAAGGTTGCAGGTTCATTTCCTGGTCAGGGTATGTACCTAGGTTGTGGTTCAGTGCCCAGTTAGTGTGGCGAAAATGGGAGGCAACCGATCCATGTTTCTTTCACACATTGAAAGAAATGTCTCTCTCTCTCTCTTTTCTCTCTCTCCTTTCTCCCCTCCTTCAATAAACATATCTTCGGGTAAGGATTAAACAAACAAACAAAAATCTGAGTAAAGAATTTTATTACATATATATTATATATTTATATATTGACATAGATAATTATGTAAAAAATAGATATAAAAGAACTAAAATAGAAACCCATAAGTTTAAGCATGGTGTTTTTTGTAAGAGTAATGAGATTATAGGCTTTTTTCTTAAATTTTTAGTTTATATTTAATATCATGTTGCTTTTATACTTTTTAGTGATTAAAAATACATCATCATCTGTTGCTTTTGTGATATAAATTACAAGTGCTCATCAGTAATTAGCTCTCCTAGTCTTCAAACATAGACAGCTCCTAGTCTCTTGCAGGTAGCCAAGCCCAAGTAACTAGATCTAGCCAAAGAGATTGAATGGATAGATGTATGCCACTCTCAGCCCAAGGTAGTGAAAACTCATGCCCAGTTCTTCAGTCTCCTAGTCTTACTCTTTTCTCTGGAGAATTGACAGAATATTCCAGATATTATACTACAGGGCGGTGGAATTTCTCATGCAGAATTGCTGAAGAATAATTGCACTGTGAAGAATAGTTGCACTGGAGAGACATTCTGACCTACAGCTTACTTTGAATGAGCAAGCAAACTGTTGCATTAAGCCACCAAGACTTTAATGTGTTTTGTAACTCCAGCATAATCTTGCCTACCTTGACAGACACAGCAGTGGTCTGCAAAATAGGGTGTATAGGACTATTTTGTGGGATGACAATATTAGAACTTCTGTTTATATTTCTTTTTTAGCTAGTAAGAAAAAAAATAAAACTTTGCTAATAATGTGGGCAGATTTATAATAGTGCCCTGAATCAATAAGGCAAATGATTGTGTGTTATACCTGGTATGTGAAGGTATCTTAAGAGAAAAGTGAAAATCCACAATGTATAGGAATGCACAGGAATCCTCTGACTTGCTTTCAGCAATAATTGAATTCATGGCTATTGTCTAGTTTTCAGCAAACTATAGAATAGTCAGGTGGCTTAAGTTTCTTGCAATAAAACATGAAAATATCAATAATGCAGTCACCTATCAACCATAGGAAAATGACAGAGCTGACATTTCTAATTAACTTGTGGGTACTAGCACTTTCATAGACATATTAATGAAGTGACTATAAATGTGAACTAATCCAGTCTGATAGGAAATTGGCCACCAAAATTCAAAATTATAAAGAACACTATTTGAAATATTAATTCACTTTCGCCTTTCTTAAAGAGGAACTTCTCTAAGTGCATATAGTGTTTCAATATACTAAGTAATGACAGTATAAAGCCAATATGAATTAGCAGTTTTCCAGTCATGTTCAAATCATGTGATAATCAATCCAGGACTTCGAAATTTTTATCAAAGCTAACAGTAAATGTTTATAACTCTTTTAAGAGGTTTAATAATAACAAAAACTAAAAATCACATATGATTGGGAAAATGTGTTCTGTTTGCTATGATTTAAATGGCTTAAATGTTGTACAGAAAGCATAATGGTTACCAAGTAAATGTTCTATTTGGTCAGCAAATACTAACAGAAAACACTGCTAAAGTATTACAATAAGATTAGGACAGTATACACAAAGTGGGAGGTTTATGATATAGTTGAATGAAAATACGTGTTTCTAACATAACTTGGCTTAGAGTATTTGCTAAATTGTTTCAATATACAAAGGATACTTTGTAAACCTCTGAAGAAAATAAGTTATCTTCAGATGTAAAATTCTTTCTTTTTAAAAATATATCTTATGGAAAACCAAAATTGTAGCCACTAGTGGAATGTCTGGTTTGATGGGGAGAAAGAAGGGCTATTGGGATAAGGATATTAAAACAGCATCTCACAAATGGATTCAATGGCTCATTCCTAGGCAGTTTCTTGAAAGAAAGAAGTTGAAGCATTTTCCAAAGGTCAGTCATTTAAAATAACTGATTATGACCTCAGAATAAGGCTGACCCAAATATACCTATTCTCTGAGATTTCTTTTTAATTACTTTAGAATTAAAAGGAGATAGCTTACTTGTACAATAGTATGTTAGCTAGTAATTGTATTCAGCCACAAGTAACACAGAACACCTCTCTTCTTCCTAGTAATAAACTTAAGTACTAGAAGACCAGGCTGTCTGAGGTTGAAAGGGTAACCCTGATTGTCACTGGGAACTGATGCTTGTAGCTTACTGTTCCACCATCTTTAAGAGGTGACTGTCAATCTTGTGCTTCCAGTATGGCTGCCAGAGCCCATGCCAAAAAGTCTACATTTTAGGCAGAAAGAGGGGAATGGGAAATGGGCAAAACAAACAAACAAACAAAAAAAACAACTAGTACCAGCTGAGTCCATCCAACTATTAAAAGCCCAACAATTCCACTGACATCTTTTTGACCAAAACTGTATCCATATGACTGCCCCTATCTGCAAGGAAGCGTGGGAAATGTGGTTTTGTTTTTGTTGTTTTCCCTCATTTATTAGCTTTACCCTTTTATTTTGATACTACTTTTATTCTTACAATTAAGCAACAAGAAATGTATTATTTTTAAAAAACAACAACAAGTTTATCATTCCAAAAGTTTACCCAATTAGAAATAATAAGAAAAGTAATCTGAAGAGTAAGGTAGGAAAAATAAGTTATTTTACATTTAATAGGCTTACTGTTAGAGTTATAAATTTTCTAAACTCATTTTTTTAAAAGATTTTTAAAAAAAATTCTCACCTGAGGATATTTTTTTAAGTAGAAAGGAGGGAAGGAGAGGGAGGGAGGGAGAGAAAGAGAGAAAAAGAAACGCTGATGTGAGAGAGAGACATCAGTTGGTTGCCTCCCGCACAATCCTTACTGGGGCTAGGGATCCAACCTGCAACCCAGGTATGTGCTCTTGGCTAGGAATTGAACCCATGACCCTTCAGTCCTTGGGCCAACACTCTTGACTGCTCAGCCAAACTGTCCAAGGCTTAAAGATTTCTTCTATTGATTTTCAAAGAGAGAGGAAAGGAGAGAGAGAGAGACAGACAAACAGAGACAGAAACATTGATGTGAGAGGGAAACATTGATTGACTGTCTCCTGCACACCCCTTACCAGAGATCAGCTCTTAACTCTGGGCATGTGCCCTGACCAGGAATTGAACTGGCGACCTTTTAGTGCACGGGACAGGACCCACTCAGCTGAGCCACACTGGCCAGAACTCAAAACTCAATTTTGACTCTTTTTAGGCCCTGTACATTATAACAACAGTAATAGTAACATTGAGTTATAAATTGCTTAAATACTTTCCAAGAATTGTTTTAAGTCGTGTTTACTCTTTTAATCCTCAAAAGAGTCCTGGGTAAGATTTTCCTGATTTTACAGATGAAGAAATTGAGTACATATAAATTTGGTGACTTGGCCAAGGCCATATAGATGTTAATTGGATTATATGAGCTATGGTCTTTTTGAGGAACTGGCTACTGAATTAAAATGTTATTTGAACTCGGAGTTGATGTCAAATTCTGTTCTTCCACTTCCTTGATGTATGTATGTCTCCTGCAAGGCACTAAACTTCCCAAAGCTTCAGCTCTTATCTTTAAAATGAGGTTATTATAACCTTATGTGATTGTTGTAATGTATAATGACAATGTAAAGCACCTACTGCATTGACCAGCACATACTAAGGACTCAATAAATGAAAATTACTGTTTTAAACAACAACAAAAAATGTATCGTTTTATATAGAATGGCTGTGGTCAATGCAAAAAGCAAGATTCAGTTTCTTTTGAAACCTTTTAATCAAGGGAAAAATAAAATAACATTTTAAAGTCAGCTTTGTTTTATATATTTTTCAGATCAATGTTGAACTGTGTGGATTGTTTGGCACAAAGCAAATTGTAATTTCTCGTTCCTCTCAAACTGTTAACCAAACTGAAGGTATACCTAACACCATAAAAACATTTCTTTCCAAACACTGTGCTGACCACCCAAACAACTGGGATGATCACCTATCAGCTGTTTCCTTTGCCTTCAATATAACTCATTTGGTATGTGCTTTTTTATAATTTTATACTTTTAAGTTAATATTATTCCTTGTCTCTATAAATGTTTTATTGCAAATTGTTGTTTATTTTTCTTAAAATAGGAGCCTACTAAAAATACACCATACTTTCAGATGTTTAATCGAAATCCTTATGTGCCTGAGACTTCAGATGATCTCCATGAAATGGATGGTGATAATACAAGTATGTTTGCCAAAATTCTAGGTGCAATTAAAGAAGCTGATAAAATAATGGAGAATAAGACAACTTCAGTGGGCCAGGTGATTCTATTTAATAGAAAACTCTATTATAGAATAATCTATAAAGTCATCTTTTAAAAAGTATCGTGTATATACACATGGATACACACACAAACACACACACACAGATATACCCTTAAACCAAGTTCTTTTTCTACCGAATTCTGCTTGTCTTGATTGAACATTGTGCTGACTATGAAATTCTGAGAGACAGTTATGGGAAAGCCATTCATTTTGGAACCAAGTAGAGCAGAATTTAAATCCCTGGTCTTATTGCTTTCCGGTTGTTTGACTTGGCAAATTACTTAACTCACCTCAGTTTACCTTGCTTGTCAAATTGGGGTAATGCTTACTTTGAAATATTGTTTTGAAATTAAATGGGATTCATGCCTACCTTTTAAGTAGCATCTCAATAAATAACCATTCTGTTATGTTATCTGCATTTACTTCAAGAAACTGTAGCTTTTCCCTCCCTTGGTTCTCTTTCTCTTTTCCCCCCCACACTTTTAGATGGAGAGTAACAACGTTGATGAAATACATAAAAACAAAATAATTATTAAAAAGAAACCAAAGCAATTAAATCCATTTCATCTAAAAGTGGGTCATGAAGTTTTAAGGCAAAGGAAAAACTGGTGGAAGGATGGCCGTTTCCAGTCGGAATGGGTTGGTCCTTGTGTCATCGACTATATTACAGAAAGTGGATGTGCTGTTCTGAGAGACAACACGGGGACTAGGCTTAAAAGACCTATCAAAATGTCTCACCTTAAGCCCTATGTAAGAGACTCCAGCGAACAAGGTAACTATCTGTCACTTCTCTACATGTTTACTTCCTTTGAATGAGGAGAGAAGTTAAAAATAAAACTCCATACCCCTGCTGGTTAGGTTTTCTTTTCCCTTTTATAAAATTTGGTATAGTTTGAGATCCCAGGTAGTCTGTTTTATTAGAATGTGTATTCTGGAACCATTGGGAATGTAAGAGATTTTATTTTGATTTCTTGTGTGCTTTTCACATATTTCCCCACATTCATGTGGCAGATACTGAACCTATTTCACAGCAGGGAGAGTTATGTGTTCTCTCTTTTCACATTCAGTATTTTAGGAGCAACTTTGTGCCTCATTTTAGCATGGAAAAAAAAAAAGTGCAACATAATTAATGCCCAAACATACATACTGTCCAGAATCCTGTTGTGAGATCCATTCATTAAAGGACTTCAAAATTTGTGATTAGTTTTTGATGTTGCGTCATGGTCAGGTCACGGGGGTACAAGGGAGAGAGGGCAGAGTGGGGTGTACTCAGAATGTTATAAGGTGCTATAAGAAGAGGTGATAACACCCTAAACAAGGTTATACTTTACCCCAAATGTAGTTCTGAGCAGTCAAGATATCTTGATTTCTCTAACCCTTATTTTATAAACTAAAGCTAAATGACATTTGCTCTGGATTTCAGATTAAATCCCACTTTTTTGAGACTGTTGTTTTGTCCTAGTGTATCTGCTCCCTAGAGTTTTTCTGTGGTGGATAGCTGAGAGGGAGTTCATTGGTACCTTAGCCAGTTAACTGCCTTTTCTATGAAGAATGCTCAAACATCAATATTAATTTGAATGTGAATAACTATTAATGGAAAAATACAATTTAGTATAGTTTTAAACAGTATAAAGCAACTGAGTTACTTAACAGTCTTCAGTAAATTATAATTAGAAGAGTAGCAGATGACTTACACTTTATAGGATATAAAGCCCTTGGGGTCTGTTTATTCAATAATAGTTCAATTGTGCTTCTGATCTGGATCACAACTGTCATGTTAGAAGCTCTTAGTACCTTTCCATCTGCTTGTGACAGACCCTGTTGCTTTAGTTGTAATCTTACCTTGGACTGTTCTAATTCTGAAAGCTCACAGTACCTTCATTCTCTTTGTTAGAAGATAAGCACTTTATTTCTTTAAAAAAATTTTTTTCTTTATTGATTTTTAGAGAGAGAGGAAGGGAGAGGGAGAGAGAAACATCGATGAGAGAGAACATTGGCCACCTCCTGCATGCCGCTCACTGGGGATTTGGCCCACAACCTGGGCATGTGCCCTGGCATTCAGCTTCCTTCTAATGTGTTAACTTTCCTTCATTAATACAAAATTTATGTTTAAAGTGTTGGTGTTTTAGGATTTGTTCAATATTTCACAGTTCACTCTTGCCAAAGAAATGAAGCCATTTTGCTACTCCTGAATATTTCAAATCCAATTGTATAGAACAGTTTTTAAAAAGAGGCAGTATAATCTATACATCATGCTTGAATTCTCTGCAGGTACCTTTCCCAGTAACATAAAGGAAAATGCACTTTTAGTACTAGTGTACTCATTAGGATCGTGAGATTGGTGGGTAAACTTGTTTTTTTCTTGTTAACCAAGCAAGTGTTGATCTGGCAATCTTGGAATCTGGTTCTTGAATACTATTTGGTCCTTTTTGTATGTTTCTCTTATATGCAGAAATTCAAAATAATATGATTTCTGCATTTTCTTTTTCAGTATCACATATTTTCCTGAAAATCTTCACCTCAGAAGCTGATTTTAAAGAGTCTTGAACTGAATTTAAACCAAACAAAATATCTTTGAATAAGCACTTTATTCTTTTATTTGACATACATTTGGATGAGATATAGCCAAAAGAACTATGGATTTCTTTGTACTTGTCATTGTTACTTTTACCAGCTCTGAGATTTCATAGTTGTATTAAAGGCTCGCTGTCCAACGCTGATATGCTTCTGTTGCCAAAGTCTTATCCATTCTTATCTAGAACATAGTGTAGAGAGAGCACATTCCGTACTACATCTACAATGTTTCTCATTGTTATTTTAAGCAATCCTGTCATTTTGTCTAGTTCAATGACAGGCACTTTTTCAAGACTCGTTATTGTAACAAGAATTTTATGATATTACATAGTGTCTCTTTGTAATAATGCTCCCCTTTGAAATGAAAAATGTTATTGAACTATTATTTTATCCATCATAGATTTTAAGTAGTTTAATTTATTTGTTTTGTTTGGGGTAGAAGTTATTGTGATTTGTGTCTGCCTCAAAGATTTAGTGTGATTGCCATTCACAGTTTGTGAAATGGTTTTCATTATATTGTAAGTTTCCTATTGTTGTCATAACCAATAATCACAATTTTAGTGGCTTAACACAACACAAGTTGATTATCTTTCAGTTCACTAGCTTAGAAGATCCAACATAGGTCTCACTGGGCTAAAATCAAGTCATTGTTAGGGTTCTGGTCTCTTCTGTAGGCTCCAGAGAAGAGTCTATTTCCTTGCCTTTTTCACCTTCTAGATCTAGAGGCTACCCACACTGCTCAGCTTGTGGCCTTCTTCAGCCAGCAATGGCAGGTAGTCCTTTTGACATCACATCACTCCAACTTCCTGTTCTTCCACATTTAAGGACCCTAGTCTTTGGGCCCAGCCAGATTCATTCAGATCAGCTGGTTAGTAACTTTAATTCCATCACTGTCCTAGTTCATCTTTGCCATGTAAGGTAACATAGTCACAAGTTCCACACATTAGTACATGGAGATCTTTAGTGGCCCATTATTCTGCCCACCCACAATATGGCCTACATCCATGAAACAAACAGAGCTTAGTTCCTATATTATCAAGCCCATGATCATGACTTTATTATTTAATGTAATTTATGCAAAGAGCCTCCCTTTGGCCTTTATTATATAATCTCTAAACTCAGTCATTCAGTTATCTGTTATTAGTATTGGTTATTTATTATACTAACAATTATGTACTATCAAATTGTAGTTATTGTTATTGTTATTTTATCATGAGGAGATGTACCATTATGGCAGCACATCCTAATATTTTTGGGAGTATCAGGCCATACATAGGAATAGTCTACTCACCTCTCTATGGAATAAGAAAATTAACTGTTCTGAAACCTTATATTTTTCTTTCTATTTGAAGAAATAAATTGATTTTAACTTATTTTTTCTGAAGGAAATTTAATTTTTTTTTTTTTTTTTAACAGAGTAGCCATGGGAATATCAAGTACAGCATAGGGAATATAGTCAATAACTGTGTGTGGTGTCAGATGGGTATGAGGTTTATTGGGATAATCACATAGTAACTTATATAATGTCTAATTACTGGGATGAATATCTGAAACATAATATTGTATGTCAGCTGTAATTGAAATATTAAAAAAGATGGTAAATAAATAAATAACATTAGAAAAGGTGATATGAACACAAATCTGAAAAAGCCTTAAAAATGTATTTAATCTAATATTTTACTCATTAAAACTGCATAAGGAATAGTATGTCAGAAATACTGATAATACCTTCCTGAAATGTCTTGAAAATACTTAAGTTTCTAAGAAACTAAAGACTTAATTATTTACTCTGGTCGAAACTGAAAAAATATTGCTTTCATCAGATGTCATAATCTTAACTAAATCAATAGATTGAAAAAAGAAAAATACTTAAGTCTCTTGTTTAATGTGACTGAGTATAAAAGTCCTTTAAAAATGTTTAACTCTCTATAGTGAGGACAAAATCTTATCTTGTTCTTTTCAATACCCCTAACTCAGAATTCTAGATCAGCACTGTCCAATAGATATATAATGTAAAAATTTTATGCAATATGTAATTTTAAATTTTCTAGTAGTCACATTTAAAAAGTACAAGTAGGTGAAAAGAATTTTACTAATATATTTTATATAACCCAGTATATCTAAAATATCATTTCAACATGTACATAAAAGAGTTACCTTTCTGTTAATTTTTTATAACCTTTTTTTTTTAAGTTAAAAAGCATTTCTATTGGCTCCAGTAGATTTAGACCATCATAGGAGTTGAAACATATTTGACCTTTCTGAATGAATGAGAATATTGTTTATTTTTTCCTACACAAACAAGGCTTGAAATCTCCAGAGTAGTTTTCTATTGCATATAAAGTGATTTATGTAGAATTCGCTGAATACAACCTTTATTGCAATAAGGTACTTTAAAGTTTATCACATATTTAAAAGGAAAAAGTGTGTGTGTGTGTGTGTGTGTGTGTGTGTGTGTGTGTGTATAACCTCTCTTCTGACAAACAAATGAGTTTGATAACGTATATTTGTTTTTAGGTCTAATATAACTATTTCTAACAAATCAAAGTGGTAACTTTTATGACCTCTACATCTTTACGTATTTTCTCTGTTGATACATGTTTACTGGACATCTTGTCAGAAATACTGATAATACCTTCCTGTTTTATCTGTGTGGAAAAAAGTTTTTGAGACAGAAAACTTCCTTCATCAAAGCTCTCTGCAAGGATTTTTGGAAATACCTTAAATGCTATGGGATCTGCTGTCACTGATACTTTGCAACATAGTACGGCCTTAAACCTATGGAATTCTTTATGGCTTACTAGAAGAATTTTATCAGCAACCCTTTTACTATACCTAATCTTTTTAAGTTCTGTTATAAACCACTACCTAGCCTTCTCCAGTACTAACAGGCTAATAGTGAACTTTGATGTTGAACTTTTAGTAGCAAAATCTAAAAAATGTTTCCATTTCATTGATCCTTTTCTTTAGTGCTGCTATTGGACAAAGTTCTTATGAATTGCACAGTTTACTTTTTACCTTTCAGAATTGTTTCTCTGTTTAGCAGTTCAACCCATACTAACATACAAAAGTCTTTTCTTACCACCTTCAATTATCCATACTTTTTCCATCATAAATATGTATATCTTTATAACAGCATCATGAATCTAATTACTGCATTCATATTAAGAATTGGTGGGATTAGACTTGGAAGACCTCTCAAAATTAAAATACCAAGTACACTTTGACTAATGAAGAACTAACTGAGCAAAACTAAATGTCCACACAAATCCAAGACTACTTATGCCATCTGTTGGTAGAAAACAGCTTTGTTTGATCTATTGAAATTTGTAGATTGAACGTTCTTAATGTGTATACCTCTGTAATTGGAATATGCTCAGTAAGCTTTTCATACATTAATGTGAGGATGGGTAGAGTGGGATTGTGTTCCAGGCTATATTAGCAATTTTATCTGCTCCGAGAAACTTTCATTGGTCTCTAATCTAAATGGGTAATTAATCTTTCTTTTGCTATTTCTTAAACTTAAAATTTGAGGACTCTTGAAGCTTTTGAAATCTTCAAGAGAATCTGTTAATGTTTGGGGAGAAAATACAGAAAGAGAAGGCAGCCTGGGCTGGTTGCTCAGTGGTTAGAGCGTCGGCCTGTGGTCCGGAGAGACCCAGGTTCAGTTCCCGCTAAGGGCACATATCTTGGTTGCAGTTTGTCCCCGGCCCTGGTTGGGTCGTGTGGGTGGCAACCACTTGATGTGTCCCTTCACATCGATGTTTCTCTCTCTCTCTCTCTCTCCTCCCCCCCCCTCCTACTCTATCTAAACAAAATATCGAAAAAGTGTCCTCGGGTGAGGATAAAAAAAACAAAACAAAAGAGAAGGAAGGGATCAGGAGGTTAATCAGCCATGGTGGAAGTGTTTCTTGTAATTAATTAAAATATCAGGTAGGGAGGAATCCCTTTATATACGTTATCCTTTATTTGTAAGGATGTTACTGCTTTGCCATCAGTTTAAAATTAATTTTAAGTGTTTTTTTATAGAGATGACATATTTGCTCAAAATAGAAATGCAAACATGGAAAATGCCTTGTCAGTATTTCAGTATAGATTCAGCAAAACCTTAAAAGTTCCTGAGCATTTTGGTATTCAGTTAGACTTAAGCTAAGCTTTTTATGCTACTTACTGCATTGCAGCCTGTCTGCTTATACAGTCCAATCATATGAGCTTGATTCTAGGAACTTTATTTTTGCTTATAACTTCATAGTATAAAAATTTGATATTATTCTCCTAATATGGGTTCTATAAAGACTAGAGAATTATTCAGTTATAAATGTAAGGATTTAACAATTTTACTTTTTAAAATATCTTTCAAGACCCCATTAATTCACCCAGAAATGTTTTGCAAAAGTATATTAAGGATATTGTGAACGTCAAAAATATAGTTTTATAACTTGTGTTTTAACCTATACCATAATCTCCAGCCCCTTCCACCCACTTGCCCATATCTACCGAAGTCAAGTCAAGGAAACAGAAAAAATTGGCTCTTTTTTAAATCCTTGGTCTTTCCTGAATTCTATATATATAAACTCTCAAGTTTATATATCATTTTATTCATTCTTTGAAATGTTTATTTATTTAGTAGGTAGGAGAACTCATCTTACTAATTAATTTTTATTATTTGGGATTTTATTCCTCATTTATCATTGTTTAATTTGAAATCATGTTTAATTATAATTCTAAAAGGCAAACTTACATTTTTTTCTTCTTTCAGACAGTCTTTACCTCTTACAAGGTTCAGTAGTGGCAGATCATGACTACATTGGATTGCCTGAAATTCCAGTTGGAGCATACCAAGCAAGTATTCTGGTAGAAGACGCAACTATTGGTGTAGTTGATAATGAATTATTGACATCAAGCAAGGATGGTGAACTATTAGAATATAGAGATGCCAAAATCTCTCCATTGATAGAAGATAATTGTAATCTTGAAAAGCAGACATTCAGTCTGTTGGACTCCTCAAACCAAGTCCTTGAGTACTTAAGTTAGTAAATACCAAAATTCATTTACAGTACTTGTTTAGGATATATAACTCCTTGAAACTTGATATTTTCCATCAAAAAGGTTGTATAGGAGAAGTGTCTGGATACACTCTTAAAGACTAAATTCTGTTTACTTCATACCTATTTATTGATCTAAAGTTGTACCGTTTGAATGTCAGTGCGTATACATAAAGATGAAAGAAGCATATCATATATAGAATTCACTTTTTCTTCTAAAAAGGGAACAGGCAAAGAATGCTTGTTTCTTAGGAAGTAAAGTAAATTTCAGCTCAAAACTCTCAAATCTAGTACGGTACCATATTTTCAGTTTTAATTTTTTAAAAATATTTCTTCTTTAAAAATGTTTGAACTACCTAAAATGGGATTAATAAATATTTATCCAATCATAACAATGAAGTAAGTGAAATTTTTGTGTCATTGAAACTTCTAAAAACAATATTGTATGAAAATACTTATTTAATGGGCTCTTACAGGAAGGATATTGGTAATTTCACCTTGTTAGACTCAGGATTAGGATCTGAAATGATATATTAGTTTGAAAATATTTGTGCATTTTGTAATATATCTTAAAGCCAAAATCGTTCATTAATAAGATTTTTTTCTGCAGTCTTAAAAAAGTAAATAATAATGATAAAATAACCAATATCAAAGATTTTAAACTATAATTTCTATGATGTTTATAACTATTCAACAAATATTTGTTATAAGGCAACTTTGGAAAAATTAAAAGGTGAGTCAGGATGTGTCTTGTCCTCGTAAGGGACTTATAGACCGTGTAAGCCATGTACAACATACTAGCTTTGCAAAGCTTTGCTGTAAAGTTATGCACATCCTTCCTACTCACATTACAGTGCACAACCTAGTCACACACTGCTAATGGTCATGACAGTATTCTAAAGTTAGTGGTGATGGCTGCATAACTCTGAAAATACTAACATTCATTGCATTTGTACACTTTGCAGATTCTATTATAGGCCATTTATGATGAAAGTTATTTTTCCTGATAAATAGCTAATACAAGCTATTCCAATAAAATGCTAATTTTATTACTGAAATCCCAGGATTCTAATGTAGAAATTACAAATATAGATTTTAAGTAAGCAATGCACAGAAATTATACATACACATAGACTTGTCTCATGTTTGTGGGGCTCCTTCAAGAGTGCAAATAGTGGTCCACATACCACATACCACATACCTAAATATTTAGAAGTTATAAATCCAGCTAATATATTGTTCCTACCTTGACAAAGATGCCTTCCTAAGCTTTAAATGCCCCTTGACCAGCCCAGGCTTGGGCATGTGCTCTCCAGCTGTCTATCCACCCTCCTGGAACAGGCCAGAAAAGCTCTCCAGGGGAGGAAGGTTATGTCTTGAGGCCTGTGGTCTCACCCTACAGGTAAGGACATAAACTCCAGCAGGGAGGAACTAGCCCTTAAGCAAAGAATCTAGAATAAGGTCCCTCTTTCTTGAATTTAAGGAGGTTTTCTATAGGATGACTATATAGTAAAATTTTGACCCCAAAAATCCAGAAATGTTTTTGTGAGGTTTTGTATGCCACCTTGTGGTATTTCTATGAACACTTAACATTTAGCATGATATAGAAGGAAAGGAAGATGCTAAACTTAAATGAAGGAAAAATATATTCTGAATGAGAAATAATTGCCTGGTTTGAAAAGTTTTAAAATATCACGATTAACATTTCAAGTGTGAAATTTTCTAATACTGCTAATCTAAAAAAATTAACTCAATAAGATTTATAAAAAAGAAAACTTACTACATGTTTAGCTGCAGGATTCACTTAATGGACTCAAAAAAGATATGTATTAAATGCTTACCATGTTCCAGATACTGTTCTGGCACTGAGGTTATATCAGTGAGAAACAAAAATCCCTGCCCTCCTAGAGTTTACATTCCAGGAGGGTGGTGAAATAGTAACAAGCAGTTCTTAATGTATTTATTTACATACATCCAGTCTTAAAATCCCATTTATAGTCTTCGCACAGACATCTTGTTGCGATCCCTACCTTAATCCTTGAAAAGGATAAGTGTTCTGTTCTACTTATTTTTGGACTTTGTAGAAAGTTATAACAGTATTTTATTTGAGGTCTAAAAGGGTCTGGGCCTTATATTGGAAAACAAAGTCAAAAAGTAATAATCTAAACATCCAGTTTAATGTGGTATAAAAAGAACAGGTGAATAAACAAAGAAAACAGAAGGTTTAAAATCAAGAAGATAATAAAAATTAATGAAATAGAAAATATACATAAAGTGAGGAATAACTGAGCCAAAACTTTGCTCTTTGAAAATACTCATAGAGACAAATCTAGTAAGCCATATTAAAAAAACAACCTAGAGAATTTATAAATAAACAATGTTGTGGTATAAGAGTCAGAACCATGTATACAATGAGGATGTTTAAAAGGGATATTACAACTTTTTCCAGTAAATTTGAAACTAACAAAATTGATAAATTTTGGAGAAATTTAAACTGCAAAAGTGGTTCAAAAAGAAATAATAATCCACATGATTTTACCAAACAATAAAATTTGAGGAATACATAATTTAAATCTTACATAAAGTTTTCAGAGTATAGAAACTGAAGAAACACTCTTAAATCTTGGCATGAGGGTTATATCTTGATATAAAAATCTGGAAAGGATAGAATAAGAAAGGAAAATAACAGGTCATTCTCTCATGAATACAAATACAAAGACCTGAAAAGAAACTGAATCCAATGACTATAACAATATGCGTTGCAGTCAAATTGAGTGGATTCCAAAAGAGCAAGGCTGGTGTCACGGTTAAAAAAACAAACAAAAATCAATTCATACAATCAATGGCTGCATTTCTAAGACTTGGTAAGAAAGAGATGAAATACCTAAAATGGTTTTAACTGAAGATAATATGAGGAACTGTTTAAAGAAGGATCAGTGGAACCCACAAGGGATGGTAGAACACTTGGCGACCAGCAATAGCCAGAAATCTCTCGGCCTAAAGGGGCAAGAGGAGGAAATGCCCAGTGAGAGATGGGTTATGGAAGAGGGTGTAACCATCAGTATTTGTAGCCAGAGAGGGATGCAACCTTTCAGAGCCATAACAGATCAGAACTGTGACAACCACTGTGAAAATTGTGATCACTCTGGAAGCTGGTGAGTGGATTGAAAAAGAGCAGTGAAGCACTAGTTAGGCGGTTGCAGTAATTCAGGTGCTAGATGATGGCATTGCAGCAATGGAGATGGGGAGACAGGGTTCATACCTGTTCTATTTTGAAGCTAGATAAACAGAATTTGCTGGCGTCGGATGTAGGAGTTTAGAAGAAAAGTCTGTGATTACCAAACTTTTTAAGCTTTCATAACTAGAAGGATGGAATTGATGCTGACTGAGATGAAGACTAGAAGGAGCAGGTTTGAAGAAAAGTTCAGTTTTGAACATGTTGATTTTGAGATGCTTTTTATACATTCAAGTGGATCTGTTGAGTAGACATTTGGACATATGAGTCTGGAGTTCAGGAGATGGGAATTCAGCATTCATTGATGCACGGTTCAGACTCTCCAAAATGAAACTTGAATTAATACGTGTCCCTTTGGGGTGGCCAGTTCTCTTTGCTGTAGAGATCTACACTTGTCGTTGACCTGCCACACTTGTTCATCATTGCTGAGGCAGCGGTCCAGAGCATCTGGTGATTGATTAAACATAATCTAGGGCATTATTTATATTACCTGGCAGAGTGAGCAGATGCGGAAGCAAGCTCTCTAGCTTTATGAGTGATAGCAGCCAAGCGTTCAGCCTCTTTCCCCTTTTTGATGGATATAGCAGATGCTAACACCACATTTAAGGGACTACAAATAATGCAGGCAAGTTCTCAAGACTCTCATTCTCATTTGTCAGTGGAAACTGAATGAGGCAAAACATTAGTAAGTAACATTATTTTGCAATCACATAGTACTTTGGCTTTGCTAAGGAATTCACAATCCAATGTAATTTATATAGAATTTCTGAGGTTGTTCCAATATCACTTTCCTATTTTAACCTCAATTTGCAATTTGAAAACTGACGAAAGAAGTTCTTTTTTCACGAATAAGAGTTGGAAATTCTTTGGAACATCTTTCTTTGATTCCACCTCACAAACTTGAAGTTATTAACCTTTAGTTATAAACTTTTTTTGAATTCCTGTCAGTGAATAGTAAAACCTGCAAGTCTTAGCATTGTATGTAATTTTGCTAAAATACCTAAATCATCTAGGTCACCGGGATGCAGGGCTTTGCTGGAGCACGTGCCACGTCAGTTCTGTTGGAGGAGGAAGCTGTGTTTGGCTCCAGTGGTAAAGAGTTTTATTCCAACTCTGATGAATGACTGGAAGGTCATGTGTAAGTGGGGAAGACAGGTCATTGAAGGCAGCAAAGCAGCAGAAAGCTGGATGTTTCCTGTTCACCCCTCACACAAATTCAACTCCTCCCATAGCTAGCTTCACATCTCCCCTCTGGGGGACCTTCTGTCCCTTAGGTTTTGAATCTCAAAGGCTGAGGCTCCTTTACTGAGGAAGCTGAAGTAGGGAGTAGATCACCCGATGGTGGAGTCGGGGTTTACCCAAGACAAGAGGGCAACGCCAGGCAGGGAGACTGCTGTAGGACAGAGTTTCACACACAACAACAATTTCCTCGTATCTATGGTCTCTGCCTGGGTGAGGAAGGCTGTACTGCAGGGAACCTTGTGGGAGGAAGTAGAGCTGTCTTAAGGAGACCATCTGCAGTGTGTTTCACAGCGTGAAGCTGGGGCATTGCTTAGAGAGGCCCTTGGTGGGAATGGACTAATTCAGTGTGTGAAGGAGCCATGACCCGGTTTTGGAAGCCACAATGCATTTCTATATGACCCAGCTGTGACTGGGAGTTTTCAGGCTTTGGCGATGGTCAGTGGTTTACCTGGCTTGAAGATAATTGTTTTTCCTAGGAGTTTTATTGAGACATAATTCACATACTATAAAATTCATTCTTGTAAGGTGAGAAATTAACATTTTTAGTATTCACAGAGCTATGATTTTAATCACTTAATATAGAAACTTTAATGTAAACAACTTGAAACCACCTCTGCTGAGGGGTGTCAGGAGAGAGTAGAAGAGGAGAGGAGGAGCACCTGCCAGCGCTTTCTCCTATTTAGTATCACTCACCTTCTTTCGCCCATGTTCTCTGCACTCACGCAACCCCTCGTAATCTTTCTCCAGAGCTGCAGGTCCTCCGGGCTTCGGAGAACTCACAGTGCTTGCTTGGCGTGTGTGAAACCAAACTGCAAT